CGAAAATTATTGAAATATAGTTATCTTATATCTTCTCTCTGTCAGCATATTCTGTACTTAGTTACTTAGTGGTAATAAGATGGATAATGAGGCATCCTATGGATTATTTTTTTAGCTTTTTGAGAATTCAACCCTTTTTATTACAGTGTTGGTCATGGCTTTCATGTTGTAGCTCTCCCTATAAAATTTAGAATTAATTTGAATGTTTTCTCTTTCACTAAATAAGGCTGGTGATATGTTGGATGTTAAACTAGTTTCTAGAGAGAGAGAGAGTCCCGGTTTCTAGAGAGAGAAATTCCTATTTTTTGAAAATTTGAATTTGTGTTGGATTGGTGGCATCGCCGGAGCTGATTGATCGGCCAGTCGGCTTCCTTCTCAGGTGGTCGAAATATGATTGATCCTAATGGTTGGCCAGTTTTGCCTCATCAGGGATCTGCGATGGGGAATTATGTCGATAATCTAAAGATCCGTAATAATGGAGAATTGGTTATAAAGAACCTACTATTGAATGGAAGAAGTTCTCGTCCCCTGTACCTGGTAAAGGAAAACAAGTGGTAACAGATACTATTGATGGAACTCCGTCTTCAATTCTCAAATCCAGTACTAATGAAGTGGAATCTTCTTCATCTGGAATGAAGATCTTTGTAAATAGATTTGGAAATTTCTCAAAGGAAGACCCTTCAGTCCAAGATGGTGTAACACGCTCATTGGATGTTTGTGGGGATGTCCAAAAGACGTCTGAAGTTTTGATCTCAGGACAGATAGATTATGTTTGGAATCCTTAGACTAAACGTCCATTTATCAGGGTGGAAATACCAACAGGTGAATCGGTATTATCTGAAGATGGAAAGGCAATAAAATTATATGAGCCCAAAATTACTGGAAATTTCTGAAAAGCTCCAGAATTCTATAGTTGTTAAAGTTTTTGGCATAGCAATTCCAGTCCAAGTAATAGCCGGGGAATTGAGACGCCAATGGTCTCAATTCGGGAAGTTCCACCTTACGATCCTTGGCTCGGGATGGGTGTTGTGTTCTTTTTTCTCTAAAGAGGTGGTGGATAAGGTGATCTCTGGAGGTCCATGGTTTGTTAATGGACACATTATTGGCCTTGATAAATGGAATACTAAATTCTCTACTACATCGCTGAAGGGTCGAACTTCACCGGTTTGGGTTAGACTGCCGCATCTTCCACTGTTTTGTTGGGATGAGATTAATGTTGCCAGGATTGCATCATTGATTGGTACACCTTGCTTATTGATGGTGATATGTTTCAATGGGGAAGAAGAGAGTTCGCAAGAGTCTGAGTTCGTTTGGAACTAGACAAACAACTACCTACGGGTGTTTGGGTGGATGGGCTTGAAGGAAAAAAAGTTGAGTATGAAAAAATCTCAAATTTTTGTTTCAATTGTGGTTGAATCGGTCACCTTATCAATGTTTGCTAGGAGAAGGGAAGCTCTCCAAATGACTGTGCTGCTCCAGTGACTAAAGAAGGAAATTCTGATTTGCCAAGGAATGAAGAACATACTGAAAATTCAAAATATGGGCCTTGGATCCATGTCAATCAAAATAGGAGGAGGGTGAATTTAATGCCTCAAAAAAATAAGGTGGAGATTAATAAAGGTCTGAAGGGAGGATGGATTGCAAAAAAAATTATTTCTGGAGAGAATTCTAATTCTACTAGTATTTCAACAGAGGAAATTGATGATGTTGCAGCAGTTGGTATTACAGATAATGAGAAGATGCATTATGAAGAAAATACGGTGGGGAAGATCAAAGATCTTGATAGTACTGGAGATACCGTGACTAAAACCTCTTCTTATTCTGAGTTATTTCCAGTCTAACAGAACAAATTCAAAGCGCTGGAGGTTATCACTGAAATGGAAGACTCTGAAATAGCTGTCTTGGTAAATCCTGTTTTAGAAGAAGGAGAAATTGGTATAGAAGCTGTTGCTTGTATTGAAATGCTTCATTCAAATTCTGAAAAAATAGTTAAAGGAATTCCTCAAGATATGGGGAAATTATGTTTGGAGAAAGCTAATTCTGGAGCTCAAAGACCAAAACTTTCAAGAGAACTTAAACACCTTGAACCTTTGAGCAATTCTTCCAGGAAAAAACCAGAAGGTTCCATTAAAGGGAAGAGTGGGTTCACTCCCACCTATTGTCCAAAATGACTTCTTTAGCATTTTGGAATTGTAGAGGAGCCAATAAAAGAGAGGCTCCTCTTTATTTGAAAGATTTTGTGAAAAATTGGAATGTGTTTTTTGTTGGTATAGTAGAAGCTAAAATCTCCTCTTTTGATAAAGTTAAGATAAGTAAACTTTTGGGTGATGAATGGGATTTCTTCTTGTATCCCTCAGATGGTGCTTCAGGAGGGATTATTGTTTTGTGGAAAATGAATTTAGCGAAGTTCACTCTGGTAGGATCTTCTACCCAATGTGTTATTGGGAATCTGGATATCTTCAACAAGGGCACTTGGATGATTGAAAAGGTTTATGGCAACAATAGCTTTCATTTATGAAGGAGGTTGTGGGATCAATTAGAAGATTTTGGTGAGAAGAACATACCTATGGTAGTTGGAGGTGATTTTATTATATTTTATCCCAAGATGAGAAAAGGGGAGGGAAGAAATACTCTTTCTCTCAAGGGCCTCAAGAGATGTGTAATTTCATGACTAAGATGGATCTTCATGATGTTGGCTTGGTTGGGCCAAAGTTCACTTGGTGCAATAATAAAACCGGGAATGCACGCATCCTAAAGAGGCTTGCTAGGTGCATTTTAAACACAAGAGCCTTGGAGGAAATCCATAATGCAACTGTTAGGCATTTGGAGAGAATCGCTTCTGATCATTGCCCGATAGTCCTCAAAATTTCTAATGAAATTCAAAAGCAGAGCAGGTTGATTAGATATGAAGAGGTGTGGGCCTCATATCCAGCATCTCAAGCTATTGTTCGGAAGACCTGGAATAAAATGGTTCAAGGTGATGCTATGGAAGTTATTAATGTGAAGTACAAAAGAGTGTTGAAAGCACTTTACCACTGGAGAAAGGCAAAACTGAAAAACTTTATGGAACTTAAAGAAATTTTAAAGAAGGAGATATCAATTTTACAGCTTGAAGAATCAAATGGCGTGGCGCTTTCTACTGCAAAGCTGATGATGTTAAGATCTAAACCCCATGAATTTAATGTGACTATGGCTAGAATCAACACATGGTGGAGGCAAAGAGCTAAGGTGAGGTGGATTCAAGAAAATGATATGAATTCTAATTTCTTCCACTCCGTTGCTAATGGGAGGAGATGTAATTCGACAACTAAAGAATGAAGATGGTATTCTTGTAGAAGTTCATGATGATATTGAAAGAATTTTAGTTAAATTCTTTAAAAATAAGTGGAGGGAATGGAATAGTTATCTGGAGGGATGGCCACCAAGTTTGGAATTTCTGTCTGAAGATGATGTTTTGATGCTACAGGTAGAGTTCACTAAAACTGAATTGGAATTGGTAATTCAAAACTGCAGTTTGAATGTTTCTCCTGGAATAGATGGAATTACATATTCTTTTTTAAAAAACTATTGGAGCATTATTGGTAATGAGGTGTGGATTGCGGTAAATCAATTTTTTCAAACAGGGATGTTATGCTCTGCCTGGAAAGAATCCCTGGTTATCCTTATTCCGAAAGTACCCAACCTGGATAATCCTGCAAGTTTCAGGCCAATAAGCCTTTGATGTACCTTATACAAAATAATAGCCAAAATGTTGTTGAATAGGCTATTGAAAGTGGTTAATGGGCTCATTTCAGATGTTCAAACTGCATTCATAAAGGGAAGATCTTTATCTTCTCATATTTTATTAGCACATGAGCTTTGTAACAAAATCAAATTTTCGAAGTCTAAGAAAGGTTTGGTGGCTATCAAAATTGATATGGAACAAGCCTATGATAGTATGGCTTGGGATTCATTAAGATTGGTTTTGGATCGTTATGGTTTTCCAAACAACTTTACTAATCTCCTCATGGAATGTGTGGAGAATCCTTAGTTCTTTATCATGATAAATGATAAAATTACTTATGGTATCAAAGCTAGAAGCGGATTTAGACAGGGTTGTCCACTCTCTCCATATATATTTATCCTTTGCTCTCAAATTCTGACGGAGGATTTGTCTCACAGAGGTAGAAAATTGGGTATAAAAATTTCTAAAAATGCTCCAAGGATATCTCACCTTTTGTACGCAGATGACATTCTATTATTTTCTGATGCAACTGTTAAATATATGAAGAAATTCAAAAGGATTATAATAGATTTTGGAAGACGAACTGGTTAGAAAGTTAATGAGAATAAATTTGTAATCCTGTATGGAAATTCTGTGAAGAAAAATAGAAGAAAAGCTATTTCAAAGCTTTGGAATTACAAATCTGTTAAGGAATTCAATTATCTTGTGATCAAGATGGCTCTTAGAAGGTTAGTTTCTTCTGATTTTAACTACATCCTGGAGAAGGCTGCTATCAAGTTAAATGTTTGGGGTAAGCAATCTATTTCTCTAGCTGGAAGGTTAGTATTGGTAAAATCTGTTTTGGCTGCATTACCGGTTTTTTTGGCTACTCACTCATTGGTTCCAATGAGTATCTTAAAAAAGTTTGATAAAGCTTGTCGAAACTTTATTTGGGATAAACAAGGAGGTATGCACGGTTTACACTATGTGGCTTGGGACAATTTATGCAAAAGTTGGAAGGAAGGAGGCCAAGGTGTTTGTTCAATGGTCAACATTGCCGGTCCTTTAAGGACTAAATTTACTTGGAGTTTGTTGAAAAATGAAGATTCTTTGCTAAACAAAGCTCTATGAGCAAAATACGGAATGAAGATTTGGGAAGCTTCCAGTTATAACAGTAGCTGTACTTCTTTCAAAATCCTGTCAAGTGGAGCCCAATTTCTACATAAAATTACTAGATGGAAAATTGCATATGGTAAAGCTATTAACATCATGGAAGATGTGTGGATCCTTGATAAAAGGTTGAATAGATGGCAAACCTTTATTGCAGTGGGTAATTCCGACTTTCCTCCCCTTGAATCTTTTATTAGCAACTGTGTTTGGAACAAACTAACTCTCCTTGAATTCTTTGGAATATCTTTGGTAGAAATGATTACCCAAATTCCAATTTATCCTGAGATGGGAGAGGATGAATTAGAATTGATGTATAAGTTTTCTGGGAAAAGTATCACAGCTTTGGCATTATCTTCAAATGAAAAAGAAAGTATAGAGGTGGATTATGGAAGATGGTTAAAGAAGCTAAAACTGAACTCTAGAGTGGAATGCTTTCGGTGGAGACTTTTCAACAATGCCATACCCACTAATGCCTTCTTGATGTACCAAAGACTGCTTGGGCATGACTCATGCCCTAGGGGATGTGAAGGTGAGGAAAATTCTGAACAAGTTATGGTGAATTGTTTGAAAATTCAGCAAATTACTGGATTGTTAAATAGCTGAGGTTTTCCGGTTCCCAATTTCTCATCTTCCAGAGATTGTAAAATCAAACCGGAACGGTTAGTAACGGAAAATAGATTCATTGCAAAGATGTATTGTTCTATGATTTATTGGTCTTGGAAAAGCAGGAACTTGGTTAAACACGGTAACCAAGAACTTAGCTTAAACTTCATAGCTGCCAATGCTATTAGTTATGCTTCTAATGCAAATCTTAATCTGGTCATGGATCACTGGGTTGCTAAACGGCTAGATCAACTATTTTCTTATTGGCACCCTCCTCCCCCAAGATGGATTAAGGTAAATATTGATGCTTCTCTTACAAGAACTAATAGAGGGGTCGGTGGAACTTTTAGAGACTCTAAAGGGAGGTTCTTGCTTGATTTTGGAATCTCTTGCACTCATTGGGATTGTGGCTTCTTGGAGTTATTGGCTTTCCGTTCATTGAAGATGGTAATCATGGAATGGATGTTAGATGCTAAAGGAATTATTATTGAAAGTGATAATTTTAATATTATCAACCATTTGCATAAGGAGATGGAAGGGAAAAATCGGAAGAATCCAAATGAAGGAATTGAAGACCTTTCGTTCTTGGATGGATTTGGTAAGATTATTTTTCACTTTGTTAATAGAAGTTGTAATAAGTTAGCTAATTTTTGTGCTAACAATGCTTTAGAAGGTGATTTTTATTGGGATGTGCTAGATTGCAATAAGGTACCTCCTTTACTTCTTGATTTGTTAAAGGAGGATTGTCATAGGATTCTATCACATGAGTAGTTTGTAATAATTTCTCTTTATTATAATTAAATGCTATCTGCATTTTGATCCAAAAAAAAAATTTCTTATCCATTATTTAACATCAAGAAAGAACTTCTAAGTACATCTAATGGTCAATGCTCATCCTCTTTAATGTTATACTTGCAGCCAAGTTTTATGAACATATTGATCCTTCATCTGACAAGTCAAAAAAACTTCAACTTCATACATTAATCATTTGTTCCATAGTTTTTTGGTAAACCTTCCACTGTTCTACATCAATTGAAAAAATCTTGTTTCTTTAAATCATAATTGAATCTTTTAGTGGCTAAAATAGACATGAATTTATCTGTGTTGCAGAAGTGAATCCTCCCCAAACCCAGGAAGAAATTAAAAAATTTGAACTCCAAGATTTCTAGCTTGATACATTTTAGTTGCCAAGTTTTTTTTAGCTATAAATGTAAACTTTTTTTGTATATATAGGCTATTTTTTGTAAACATTCGTTGTATAGAAAGGTCAATAAATATTATAAGGATAATGACATAAGTACACTAATTATACTTTTTACTTATGAGTAATTATTTCTTCCCTTTTTTTTGAAATATAGATTTGACTTCTTTATTCTTATAATATTTAAGAAGAATGTTTGGAGAACTGTGCTGTAGAATTTAAGCATTATAAAACTTCCTAACAGTCATCCATCCTATATACGGAGACAAATTGTTACGAATCTAAGAGTAGCAATGCAAACATACACAAATAAAAAAGATATATGGATAATTAAGAAAGTTTTAAGATTGCCAAGATTAGGCACTTCGAGCATGCCTACAACTCCATACAGTCATTGGGGGACAAGGAACAACTGCAACCTTCTTAATTCTCGTTTCATATTTTCCAATATTTGTGGAAATTTATTATTTTTTATACTCTTTTTTCCTCTCATAATTTCTTAAATTTGTATTAAAACTAAAAAATAAAAATATGAACAAATTAAATAAACAAGTAGAGCTTGCTATTTTGTTATAATATAAATGAAAAAATCCTAGATTGCCATGTTTAAAGAAAATTTTTTGATATACAAGTTAATTTACTTGTAAAACCTAAAAGTTCTACTTAAACTCGAAGGTTTCATTTGGGATGGCTTTCTTACTTCTTAAAGCAGCTTTTTATTACAAAAATTTAAAATTTTACACTAGAAAGCTACTTTAAGAAGCAATAAGAAAGCCGTTCCAAATGAAGCCTAAAAGAGTAGAGGCAAAGCGGAGCATTTCAGAGACCACAAATTCTTATGAACTATATTAAAGAACATTTTTTTCTTCATCTTCAAACTTCATTAAACTTTATCCTTATGTTGACAAAGAAACTCTTTAGCCTAGCCTCTATGAATCACAAACAATATTTCCTAGCTTTTCCCAAGTTTGTACTTTTTAGTTAGAATAGTGCATCTTGCACTTAAATTTACTAGTTTTGATTATGGCTATTATAATATTGCCCACATTAGTACTCTACAATAGGAAAATTTTGGTCAACAACTAAAATCCAAGTATTTTCTTCTAGAAAAATATAATCTTCAAGTTCTCGGTCCTTCACAAGTCTTTTGGAGCAATAACTCAATAATGATGAATATGTTGTTTTGAATTAGTCCTTGCTGACAAATTTTTAACCTTAATTCCTCTATCAACATTTATTAGAAGACCTAAGTTATTCGTTCATTTTGGAGAAAATAAGGTGATGGGATGAATAGCAATAGGCAATTAAAAATTTGTCCTAAGAGTATAAATGAGGTATAAGGCAAAAAAAAAAGGTATAATTCAACAAAGTCTAAGTTGAGAAATGAAGTCAACCTATTAAAGTGGTCCCTCTACATGCTAAGTAAAAATGACTAAACAAGGTTGGGACTAATGTATATAGGAAGTTTTATGTTCTAGTGTTTCTACAATTTAGAGGAAGGAGCACCAAAGTAGAAGAAAGAAAGAGTTATAGGGACTGTCTCCCATTCCACCTAGCTCAATTTTCTATAAGCAAACCTTTCACTTTACTTTTGTGATAAATGTTGTTGAGGGCTTTTGTTTGAAGATCTTAAGAAGGGGAATGTAATGAATCAAAGTGAAGGCTAAAAAAGGAATAAGGTTAAGTTTAAAATTTATCGTATGTCTCAAAAGAAAAAGACATAAAGCCATAGCCAATTAGGTTTTACTCCATATAAAAGAAGCTAGCTAAAGTGGGGTAAGGAAATAAGAAAATGTATAAACATCTATCTTTCTAAATATGTAAGGTAATTTAGGCAGCAAAATGAAAACCCTAAAGAAGGAGGCAAAAGATATGTTCCTTATGGTCATACCATTTAACTTAAGAGAACACAACATAGAGACAGAATGCAAAAAATAAATGTGCTCCATATTCGATATATAAAAAAAAAGAAATAGTATTATGGAACATAAGTCAAAGAAGAACCAAGTCAAACATCCTCCATCACATGACTCCACATGTTCATCCTCCAACTCATGTCTTTCAAAGACAAGCATTTAACATTTGCTAGACACTGATGTTGGATTCTCATTATCAAATGCCTACATATCACTCTTATTAAGAAAAATAGCCAAGTTGATCACCCACTATATGTTATCATATACAGCTCACACATAAGCACACTTGCTTATCCATCAGAGAATCATTACAGTTAGTGGACACGTTACCTGCTACATCCGCCGTCCACCCATTTCTGCCACAGCAACTTCTTGTCTCCTCTGACTTATAACAAACACCTTACCTTTATGATAATATAAGTATACACAGTAAGCTGTAGCATTCGATTATGAGAAGCAATATAATGAGGAAGATTCATCTCTATCTCTCAGCTTTCTCTGTATTCTTATTCTTCTAACCATTGTATTGCAGGAATCTTCATGGTATCAGAGCCATTAGGCGACATTACCTCTTCCATTATACAACATGACCGGAAGCCAAATTTCTTCAACTCCTCCGGCATCTCCAGCCTCCTCTGCTACAGTCGACTTCACCATTCCAGCTCCTTAAAGTTTATCATTTCAAAAATCAAGCACATCGTAAACATTCAACTCAATAATGAAAATCACTCCATTTGGAAACTTCAAGTCCTCAAGATCTTCTCATCTAATGGCTTCGAAGGGTTCCTCACCGGCACTGAAATCTGTCCGCCAAAACTCATCTCCTCCAGCTCCGGCTCTGGCGAAATCATCCCTAACCCGAAATATCAAATCTGGTAGTTAACTTACCAGAATCTGGCCGCAGCACTGTTTTCCACCATATCGCCGAGCATCTTGCCATACGTCCTTACTATGCAAACTACCCATGAGATCTGGGAAACTCTAGAAAAGAGACTTCAGCCCACAAATCGTTCAAGAGTTATACAACTCAAGAACGAACTATACCGCATTGAGATGAAAGAAATGACAGTTAATCAGTACCTTGCTCACATAAAGACTCTAGTGGACAACATAGCAGCAGCAGGATCCAATGTAGATCCAGAGGACATTATACTTCACACCCTAAATGGGTTGCCATCTACCTACAATGCCTTCAAAACTGCCATCCGTACTTGACCATCTAACATTCCCTTGGATGAGCTCTATTCATTACTGCTTAGTGAGGAGATAAACATACAAAATGATCGCTCCAAGGATTCCTCCTTGCCACCAGACACTGCTGCTCTGGTAGCTGTCAAAAACTTCAATACTAACAAGTATTCTCCCAGCGATCAAAACATAGCACCTCGGGGAAGATCCAACAGCAGCAGGTTTCCCTCTTCCAGATCGTTATCTGATGCAGCACGACCTCCACGCAATCTTAACAGAGACACCACTACTACCTCTGGACCTCGCATTATCTGCCAGATCTGTAATAAACCAGGACATATCGCAGCGCAATGCTGGCATAGAGCTAACCTGCAATACACTCCAACCACCCCATCTCCTCAACGTTGCTTCTTCACGACACAACAAAACAACTCTACATCTGACTGGTAATTAGATTCTGGAGCCACCTCTCACCATACATCTGACCCATTTCAACTTCAACAACCTCAATCATATGCTGGGAGTGACAGCATCTCTATAGCCAACGGATCAACTCTTCCGATTAAATCTACCAGTCAGGGAATCATCCCCTTGCCCAATACCTCACGTAAGCTCTTATTACAAAACCTTTTCCATGTTCCATCTATTTCTCACAATTTGTTGTCCATTCACAAACTCACTACTGATAATCACTGCTCCATCTTATTTGACACGTCTGGTTTCACCATTCTTGACAATCAGAATAACAAAGTTATACTTAGAGGCCGCAGCCGAGACGGACTCTACTCCATCCCATCCAGCTCACAATCAGCTCTTCACACCTCTCGGTCATCTACTTCCACATGGCATGCACGTCTAAGACATCCCCATCTTCAGTTGCTTCAGCACTTAGCCAACAAAATACCTACCTTATGCATCTCAAATTCCATGTCTTTTATTTTCACTTCCTGTAATTTGGCAAAAAGCCATAAGTTATCTTTCTCTATTAATGAAAAGAAAAATTCTACACCTTTCTCTCGTGTACATTCCGATATTTGGGGACCCGCTCCTATCTCTTCTTTAAATGGCTATTTTTATTATGTTGTATTTTTTGATGATCATACACGATTCTCCTGGGTATATCCAATGCACACAAAAGGTGAAACATTCTCAAAATTTCAACATTTTTTGCAGCTCATACAATCCCAATTTAATACAACTATTAAAACATTTCAATCCTACGGAGGAGGTGAATATCAATCCACTGCCTTTAAGCACCTCCTCTCAAACCATGGCATTCATCACCAAATGAGTTGCCCTCACACACCCGAACAAAACGGTATCGCTGAAAGAAAGCACCGTCATCTTATAGAAACCACAAGAACCCTTCTCCATGCGGCTAGCCTTCCTCTTCACTTTTGGGTAGAAGCTCTACTCACAGCCAACTACCTCATCAATAGACTTCCCTCCAAAATTCTGAACTTCAACAGCCCCTATAAACTTCTACGCAGTCATGAACCACACTACGACCACCTCAAAACGTTCAGCTGTTGGTGCCATCCATGGCTTTGTCCCCTCACCCCTTCCAAGCTACATCATCGGTCAGCTCAATGCATTTTCGTTGGCTACTCCACCTCACATAAAGTCTACCGATGTTTTGATCTTCAATCCCGAAAGATACACATCTCAAGACATGTAGTCTTTCATGAAACCACATTCCCATATAAAGACTTCAATTCTCCATTTCCTGTCATCCAGCAGAACTCCCATGCATCCCCACTTACACTCTTACATGTATCTACAATGGCACCTATTTCTTCCAATACTACTAACCCAAATCCTACATCAACACCCTTACAGCAATCCTCTTCCACTTCCCCTGTCTCCCAAGCTCCTAATCAATCCAGCACTCCATCACACCCCACGTCTCATACCTGTCCTAAACCCACCTTACCTCACTCAACAGGCAATGCTTCTCTACCTCACCACCCCATGCTCACAAGATTCAAAATAGGAACACTCAAACGAAAACAACA